GAAGAGCAGGATGTCATGGAGCAGCTGGGAAGAGCAGGATGTCATGGGGCAGCTGGGAAGAGCAGGATGTCACCAAACCCTGGCTTTTGGCAAGTCCAGCGTGTTCCTCACGAGCCAACATCGAGAGCCTTGTTTGCTTCCCACCCCACTGGGAGCTGTCCTTGCAGACCCTCCTTCCAGTGAGATAAATCACTTGCTGCTCCAGCCATCCTGTTTATTCCTTAGTGCTGGAGCTGGACACCATCAACCCAAAGTTCCTGAGGAGTCTCCCTTTGGCAGACTGGTCCTTGGGAGAGAAAACCCCAAATCAGGTGGGGAACAACAACAAAATGCAGTGATTAAGTTTAATGTTGGCCAAGGCTGTTCCTCCCCTGACTGGTTTTAAACTCTTGGAGCTGCTGGTTTAGGGAATGGCTTTGCTGGAATTCCAGAGGCACGCCAGGGACGTGGCTTGTAATAAATGTGCTGATAAACTCGTGCCTGGCTGACTGATTTCTGGGAGTTATTTTTGTCAGACAGGCCAAAAAAATGGTGTCTTTTCTAGAAAAAAGGCAGAATCAAAGTCAAAACTGACCCTTTCTCTCCCCTTTCCAAGGACAAACCTCAGACAGACAAGGGCAGTGTCAGTGCTGTCCTGGATCACGTGGAGTCCCAGGTTTGGGAGGAGCCTGCTATTCCCACTGCCCTGGGACACGGGCACAGCGTGTGTTAAATCACTGGAAATCAAAATAAATGTGTCTGTTAGAAAAGTGTTGGTTTGTGAACCTTCAGGAAGGTCTTTGATCAGCTCGTCCTGGGCTCTGCCACCCATAAAATGTGACACCCAGGCCCTGAACACTTCAGGTCCTAAACACTCCTCTCTTCCTCATTTTCTGTGTCTTGTTAACTCGGCTGATTCAGCCCCAGGCAGACAATGGTCTCTGTGATTCCAACAAAGCAGCAGAAAGGTTCTTTTCCTTAAATTTTGCAGTTTAAGATCCCCCATAGAACTCACAAGACACTTAATTCTTCTCGAGTTTTCAAACCCTTGCTTGCTGGGGCTGCGAGAAACCAATTTTACAGATCAGCTGGATTCAAATCACGTTTAAGAATCTTAAAATCTTGTTTCCCAGCCCCCAGTGGGGGATGTATTTATTGGTGCATCCCATTGCCAGCCCAGGAATTCCGCTGCCTTGTGTCCTGGAATCAAACCCAGCCGATTAAAAGAGTTTTAAAACTTCCTGAATTGTTTTTTTTTCTGAGTTCCATTTGATAATTCATCCTGCTCAGCCATTGAATCCGAGTGACCACAGAACTCCCTGGAAAGCCCCGGTGAGATGTCAGCGAGGAAAAGCTCCAGGACGTTTTCCAGCAGGGCCTGGAATGCTGGGAGGGCAGCAGAGGGAGCTGCTTTCCCAGGGCAAAGGCAGGGAACTCCTGGGAGCTCCATTGGACTTTGGTTTTGTTCATTTTTCCATATTTTCTGGGCAAAAAAGGGATGTTTGTGCTCGGGGGTGTTTGGGCTGTGGGAAGGGCACGGGGAGAGTTCCCATTCCCGGGCTCTCCGGGGGGTTTTTACCCATCCCCAGCTTTGCAGGGTGTGGGTGCAGGATCAGAGGATCCTCATGGAATGGGTTGGGTGGGAAGGGACCTCAAAGCCCCTCCAGTGCCAGCCCCTTCCAGCGCAGTCCCGGCAGGATGTGGCCCGTAGGTGGCACTGGGATTCCATCAGGATGGGCTGACCCCCCCTAACCCCTGCCCTGCCACCACACCCCACGCTGGTGTCACCCGACCGTGGGTGGCCGGGATGTCACCGGAGCTGGGGGGTCATTTGTTCCCTGTCACGTTGTGGGATCGGGGGTGGGAACAACCTGCAGCCCCCCAGCCTGCAGCAGGAGGGGATCTGCCTCCCAAAAACGCCCTGGAGGAAGATCCATCCCAGTGCAGCTCCTCTGGGTTTGCAGTTCCCACTAAAATCCTCTGGATCTGCCCCGAAGCTCTGCAAGTGTGTGGAACAATGCAGGATTTTCCCATTCCCATTCCCATTCCCATTCCCATTCCCATTCCCATTCCCATTCCCATTCCCATTCCCATTCCCATTCTCATTCCCATTTTGGAGTGGTTTGGGCTGGAAGGGACCTTAAAGCCCCTCCAGAGCCACCCCCTGCCCTGGGCAGGGACACCTCCCACTGTCCCAGGGTGCTCCGAGCCCCGGGACCCCCAGAGTGAACGTGGGATCTGTTGCAGCTCCTGGAGTCCTGGTTTTCCTTTTTATTTTCCTTTATTTTATCATCTCAGTGCCCTGATGAACACCCAGAGCTCCCTGTGCCACTCCACGAACGTGCCATGGGATGTGAAGAGCCTGGGATTGGTGCTGGGAGGTGGGAGGTGGGTTTTCCAAAGGTCCTTGTCCCCTCCCTGGAGGAACAATGCCTTTCCCAACAGGAGCAGCTCCAGCTGATGTGCTACTGGTGTTGGAAATCTGGTTCTGGCTGTGACACCAAACCCTCCCAGTGCCAGGGCTCAGACACCAGCAGGGAACTGGTCGGGAGGGACTGGTTTGTGACAAAGGGCTGAATCAGGTGGGGAGGGGCTCCCACACATTCCCGGGAGATGCCCAGGGAGGGAGGGAGAGCTTTTAGGGAAAGGTAAATCACTGGAACCGAGGGAATGGAAGAGAGGGGAAATATGGGATGACTGACACAGAAACCCCCATGAGCCCTGGAGTGTCTGGAATGTTGTGGGAGCCTGGGAGAGATCCCACCCCCGGGGTCACCTGAGGAGATGCACAGGACTCCAGGTCCCTTCCCTGGGGCTGTTCCTGTCATCTGGGGGCAGGGTGGGATCTCTCTGGAATAACAATGCTTTTGGAAAACAGCCATTCCAGGATTCTGTGACTTTGGGCAGCTCCAAAGGGGGGCAGGACGCTGGGATGGCCTTGGTGCCTTTTCCCTCACAGGCCCCTGGGCCCCACCTCGGCCACCTCATTCCCTCTGTTCCACAGGAATTGGGGGTGCACTGGATGGAAGTGTTCCAAAAACACGGGGATGTGGCACCTGGGGACATGGCAGTGCTGGATCCCATGGTCTGAACAGGGCTTTTCCAATTTAATGTGATCCTGGCAGGAATAAACAGCCATGGAAGTGCTGAGGGCTGTGGGAGATCCCCCTCCTGGGCAGGAATCAGACCTTTTCCAGTCAGGCTTTTTCCCAACACGATGTTGCTTTTCCCATCCTGGGAATGACTTCAACCCATGATCCCACCTCTGCTTCCAGTGGGACCCCCATGGGAAAATCCTTCAAACACCCACGGGAGAAAAGGGCTGGATGAGGAGGGGGGACCTTCTCCTGGGAGTCATCTTTGGGGCACATCCCTTCCTTATCCATAAGGGAACCCCTTTGGAGTCCCCAGAATCCTGCAAAGCCACAATCCAGCTGCAAAAACTGTTCTCCAGATGTTTTCCTTCCCTTTGCACCATTAGAACCAGTCCCACCAGCCCGGTTCGGACTGGTCCTGCTCCTGGCACACCCCCTCAGCCAGAGGGAGAGGGGCCTGGCACTGGGAATGTTATCCCTGTTTGC